AAAAAAAAAACACCGTACGTCCCCTCACTCCTCCCATGCTGACAGCTGATTGCATGGGCAATCATTACAATGTGAACTTGCTAGTGTTCCTCTGATTTGGATAAGAAAAGGTGACAGGACTTTTAGACCTTGAGGACTTTCACCTTCCTGAATAGCAAAAAAGATGTTGTTAATTCAGGGACTCTTTTTGTGCATAGTTTTATCCCAAAGTCTTCCTCAGGATAGTCACAAAACTTGAGTATAAAGCATTTTATATTCTAATTCATCTGTGTACATTTAATAAATGTACTGGCATTGAAAGGACCAATGCACAATTATGTAGCAAATTTAGGACTATTCATTGTGGGGCTAAGTCATGTCACCTACCGTCTATTTCTACTTGTAAGAAGAATGCTCAGATTTCTCATTGTTGCAAAAGCTTCCAGTTGGTATTTTAGAAAATGAAGATTACCCTACAGTTACTGGTATATAACAGCTGGATGCTGTGAGGGTCAGGTGACAATAAGGGTGATTGTTTCTTCTCCATGAGTTTTCTTGTAGTGTTAGACTGGCTTTCAAGAGACAAAGTGAACATGTTGGAGAGCTCCTTATTTGTGTCCTTGTGCTCAGGTGAACTTCCAGAAATGTTCATTGTTGGCCTAGCTGTGATCGCAACAAAGTGCCTCAGACCAGTTTCTGTTGACTTCTCTGTGTGTTGGCTTCAATAGCTGAAATTCAGGGCGTTTCATTCTCCCCATCTCCTCCTTTTCTTTACAAGGAGGAGGGGAGGAGGAAGGAACACTGTAAGATCTTCCCAAGCAGCACAACTACTGTGTTGTAATTTTCCAGGGCTGCTCTTGGTTTCAAAAACCAAACCACACTAAACAATTTGATTGCAGACACGAGTGCCCCTGTATGATCCTTGTTGCCAGCTAACAAGATATCTGAGCACAATATGTGTATTTGGGGTACCAAAATGATGCCTTACATACAGCTTACATTACATATTTAACAATGTATATTTGCATATTTTTAATCAAATATAAATGTACTCAAACAGAACATTTGCTTGTACTTGTATCTCCCTGGCAGATGGCTAGAAATTGCTCACTGCCTGAGTTCACCAGTCAGCTAAAACCTTTGATCCAAAGTTGATCGGTGCTGTCCACAGTCAACATTTCCTGGGGAGGGTGACAAGCAAATGATGCATATCACTCAGTGGACTACATGTATTGGTTGCCCTGTATTGCAGTTACAAAACAGATATATTACGGTAATATGGTGTCCCTGAAGTGGCATTGCTGCCTGTAAATAAAATTGGTCCTAGTGTGCTGTACCAGAAACATTAATACTGTAAAAATGTTTACGATAATTAGTTGAGCTTCTTGCTGAGGCTGTTTGCATTCTTATTTTCTGTTTAAGCATAGCATGCACAAGTGTCCAGTATTGTGAATGCTATGAGGTTGTAAAATGCTGTGCATGAAGGAGATGCACAAGATTTGATCCAGAAAATACTTACTACTGATACAGATGCTTTTCAAAGTTGGTACCACAGGTGCAGATTCAAGGTTTTGAAATCTCTAGGCCTTCCCCCAGGAGTACCCCAGGTGGAGTTCTATGTCATGAGAGTGCTGACACTGTCACAGAAGGTTCAGAAGCTAGAGTTATGCTTAGTACTGTTGCAGGGTTGGACCCCTTTTGAGGCAAAGAATATGCCTTGCTCTATTTGTTGGATACCATGTGAATTTATGGCATTCTGCATGAGTTTAATAATAGACACATCGGTGATAAAACTGTACACAGTATCTGGTCAGTGCAGGCTGCAGAATAAAGGCCTGTGTATTTTAGCCTTTTCCTAATCAGAATGACCTTGGTATTAATACTTTTTTGTGAAAATAAATTTTATAATACAAGTAAACTCAGCATATCCTTAATGGCCACTCATTTTAGACATGCAGAAAGAAAAGGAAAATATGGAAAAAAATGCAGTATTATTGCCGTAAAAGAGCGTGTAAAGCAGAGCAAGTTCTCTGTCTCAGGAAAAATAGATCAGCAGTGCGTTTATTGAAAGCCTACTGAAGTTATCTTCAGTGTCCAATTTCATATTGTATTTCAGGAGTAAAGTCTGATCCTTGGAGAAACCGGTGGCAAAACTGCCTTTAAGGTCACTAGAGTCAGGTTTCTCTGTTGTATAGGTTAACTGAATTTAATTGAACTTACTGCCGGTACAGAAACTGGACTATACTAGAAGTCTGAAAGGGAAGATGCAGTGAAATAACATCTTCTGGGGAAACTGCCTAGGTTTTAAACGTTAAGAAGCTGATACCATTTGGGAAGTTTGGAAACTTTGGCATCAGAGCTGTTTATGCCATTAGTGTTGTCCTTTATCAGGCAGGCTTCGTGCTGTAGACAGAGAGACTGCCAAGTAGAGGCTATGGTATCTAGACTTAGTTGAATCGGTCCAAAATTATTTCCATGGAAACATCAGTAAATCAATGGGATCTGTTTAGCCCATCGTAATGTTATCTTCCCCATTTGCTTCTTTGTAGATAACATGCATCTGAAGGTGAATATATATGAAGGTGAATGTATACGCTCAGTGCATATTCCAGCCTAGTGGAGTTCTACTCAGTTCCAGTCTCAAAGCTGTGTGAAATTGCATGCAGGTACACTGGGCTGTACTAAGGCTTCCTTCACTGGTTGTAGCCTGCTGGGATTACTAGAAGAAAACTGTACCCATGCCTGATACTATATTAAGATCAGTGACCCTGAACATCATCCAAATGCTCACATTCAGGCCCAGCTGATAGAAAAGGCTGTCTTAGGAGGCTGGAAGAGATGATGGGAGCAAACCCTTTGCATCCTCTTGAGTCTTCATGGTTTTAACAGTCAGTTTTCCATGACACAAAAACAACTTTGATTTTCATAGAAACATGGAGAAAAGGGAAAAAAATATTGGTATGCTTTAAGCATTAATTGTCTGAAAACAGCTTGTTGTTGCCGATGCCCCCTTCAAATTATCAAAAGGAAAAAAACTGTAGAGGTTGGAAAAATATTACTGTACCCTTTTCATCCACTGCAAATTGCTTATTCTGTGGGTTTAAAAGCGTTTTATTCTTGTGTTAAGGGCTGTGCCTGAAGGCCCACAGTGACTACTAGAATCTATCAGAGCTTTTCATTTTATTTTTTAGGATCAGCCTACCCAGATGAGAATTTTACTTGTCCGGCAGTGTGGAACAATGCTATAATAAAGATTAGAAATATGACAGTATATTGGGAAATGGAGGAAAGATTTTGGACGCTGATCATACAAGGGCTCTGCCCCTAAGATCTGTGTGCAGGCAGGATTCTCATTGCCTATTCAGTAAGATCACTTGTAGTCGCAGTGCTGGCATCATTCTGAGGTTGCTTCCGAGAAGTCACAGCAGCCTTCTTCAGGGAACAGGGGGCTAGTCTGGTAGCGAGGAAACGAGCATGCCTCAAAGAGCTGCGTTCAGTTAGCAGCTCACCAGTGTATCACTCGCTCTCTCTCTGCTTCAAATCCACTTTTATGAAATGAGGATCAAATAGGGGACTGTGAGGTAAAGATAATAATGTACCTCAAGATCTCAGTACTTTAAAATAGAGAGGCGATAATCAGCATTTAAAATAAGATGATAGAACGTTCCTGCTTTATTAAAGTTCCTTTTATACTTGTCTAATAAATAGTTAATCCATTTTTATAGAATCTAGTTGACCAATGTGTTTCTTGAAGCTGTACCTTGCTTATAAAGTCAGCTATAATATTTCCTGATGTGCCTGTACACCAGAGCTCTTGTGACCCCCAAGGTGTCTGCTGCTGAGTGGAAAGCCTATGAGGACTTTTTGAGAGCTTTTAGGCTCCCTGCCATGGAGCCGGAAGCAAGCTAGGGATATAGACTTTTGTGCTCCATGCTGTTTAGCTGAAGGTACAGTAAAGCCAAGTGTTTCTCATACCTGTGGAAAAAATGTGGGAGCTTGGAGAGTTCAAGCGTGTCAGTGAGCTGAAGGTCCAAGCTCAGCTAGGATTTCTTGGCTGTTCTTGGAGCTCCAAACTTAGAAGCTGTTTAGCAACAGATGACCAGGAGCTACGAGGCCCAAATCTGTGTTATGCTGTGAAACAGTTTTCTCTACTTCTTAATATCTTTCTAGATTTTGGACCTGCAGAAACTTTTGGGTTTTTTATTCCAAAAAATATAACAATATTTTCCAGCTGAACTTTGGAATATCCTGCTGAACTGCTGAATAGGAATTTTGTCTGGTGATCTGTTCTAGTGCAGGTTTTTCTAAACTGTAAAAAAGGACCTTTGGTCCTTGGATGGAAGTCTTTTCAATTCAGTTGAAGCTGAGAGTCAGGGAAGTCAATGTCATTGCTACTGAAGAGGACTAGTGAACAGGAAGTGGTGGAATAAAACGTTATGATCCACATAATCTGTGGGACTTGAACAATGTGATTGGATGGATCTGCATCACTTGAAAGAGGAGGCACTTAGTTTTTATTTTCTCTTGTCTCTCTTTACAGTAACCTAGTTCCGTAATCTGAATAGGTTTGTTTCCTGTCCTTTAGATAGGAGAGAGCCTCCTATTTAAAAAGTTCTCTCTTAGAGAGATCTGCTAATTACAATTGATACAATTTTTGCTGTCATAAACCGTAAGCTGTTTTCCTACTTATTAAAGGATTATGTGTTTGTTCAACCTGCAGGGAACGTTGCTTTCCTTTGTTCATTATCTCCGGCAAGATGATGAGTTCTAATCAGGAGGAGGTCACTTTGGGCGCTTTTCTCCAGTATATTGAAGATATGGGGATGAAGGCCTATGATGGCTTGGTTATACAGAATGCATCAGACATTGCTCGAGAGAATGATCGCATGAGGAATGAAACAAACCTGGCTTACTTGAAAGAAAAGAGTGAAAAACGCCGAAAACAAGAAGAAGCAATAAAACGGTAAGTATTTTGGTAAAAAGATGAGTAATCTAGCAGAGTAAACGAACAGTGAAGGCCTCAGTGTCTCAGCTGTGGTAAAACTGTGTAGATCAGTTGGCTTCTAAGCAGCTTACTGCTAAAAGCCATGCAGGCCATTCGCCCATGTCAAACTGTTAATTGTGCCTGTTTTACAGTGTGTAGATGTGATAATGAATGGTCCTGCCCGCCTCAATGACAGAAAATATTCCCATCCAAATGTATTCAGTTTGGGCATGTGTGGTATCTCCAACAGGTCTGATTTGTAACAAAAAGTTCCAGTATTTAGTATTGGAGATGCATTTCTAGCAGAAACCAGGTCTTCATCCAGTTGGTGCTTTCGGAGGTATAGCGTGCATTTTGTGCAAAGTTATATTGGTGTGTGAGCTCTTACAGGACAGGGACAGCCTCACAGATCAAAACGGACTCTCCTTGAGTTGATGTCTTAAATCTGTTAAATTTAAAGGTCTCTAATTGCTGTCTTAGAATTTGCAAAAAAATGTTGTTGTTTATGACCTCCTCACTATTCTGCGCTCTCTGAAGCCAGCAAAAAAATCTGCAGTCATTTAAAGGAAAATGTATCAAGCCGCTGATGGGCACAACCCTGTAATGGTGGTTCTTGAACAGTTCCATTGACTTTAATTGACAGTTAATGAGAGGAGTGCTCACGTTACCTGGCCTCCTGTGCCAATGGATAGCAATGAAATCTCTGTATCCTCCTGGAGAGGAAGAAGGATGAGTAGAATGCATACATACATAAATATGTCTGTATTTGTCTGTGTGTATAGATATCACACGTGTATCCAAAATTTATGTTTTGTTGAAGAGATGGACACATTTTATAATACAGGTAATTATTTGAGTATTAAAGTTGTATATGCAAATGAATCGCTTGAGCACAAACTGTTAAAAGGTCCTTTGAATTTTTTTTCCCAGCATGAGTCTTTTGCATTGCAGTTTTAAGTGATTAAATATTATGCGATGTCTTGGACGCTGTACAGCCAGGTATAACAGACATGCTGTGCTATGGGCATTCCAGTGACATCTCAATAGTCTGATAATTTTGATGGGACGTTAAAAGGAAAAGAGCAGCACATCCAGTTTGAAGGGGAGAGGGAGAAGAACGACATGAAGTCAAATTATGGCTGCTTTACATTTCAAGAAGCAGAATTTTCTGACTGGTCGCTAACTTAATTTCTAGCGAGGATGTGTATTTTGGAATCTTCTGACACTAGTGTTGTTTGCCAGCTCCTTTTGGGTGATGTTTAGAGGAGTTGGGTGACTGTTTGGGTGACTGTTGAGGAGTCAAAGGCAGAGGTTCCTTATAGCAGGAACTAAGCTGTGCATGTCTTCGTGAGAAAAACTTTCTCCTTGCTGCAAATGAATGTAGGGTTTTTTTGGTTTTGATCCATGTTGGATGTGTGTTTTGTTAAATTCCTGCTATCCTGCTCCCCACTGGGAGGGGGTACCGGTATATAAGATGGCAAAGAAGAGTACCTTTGGCAGTAAGAGCAGCTGCTGTTTATTCTCCTTCCTTCTCTCTCTGCTCTATTGCTAGTGCTAGTGAACAGTTATATTGCAAAAGTTCCAAGAGGAGAGGATACTGAGATCCACTTCAAAATATTTCTTGATCTGATGGAGGGATTAGTTACGTTCTAGTTACATAAAGCAGAGGAAGAGTTTGAATCCACCTCTCACCTGCTAAGCAAAAGTGCTTGTCAGTAGACTGTTGTTCAAAGCACTGAGATGAAGAGCACGTTCTGCTTGTAAATTTTGTGTTTCTTTCCCACCTAAGGAAAAAAATATCAAATTAAATTAGCAAATATTTTGAATTGGTTAAAATTTCATTTTCTTATTAATTTACTGTTGACTGGAAAAAAAATTTTCCAGCTCTTGTGGCAACTTCTTCATCTGATGATAAACTGTGTTACACTGTCAATATATACAGATATATACAGAATATAGACTTTAGGCAGCTAATTATTCTGGGCTCTAGATTAACTGTTCCTATGCGCATAATTCCAGGTATGTGTGACTGTAAAGGACGCCAAAAGCTGAAGTAGGTTTTGTTATAAATAAGTTATTAGAGGCATGAGTTTTTGACATACCTGGTTCTTTTACGTGCCTCTGGCTAAGCTTCTCTGTACCTCATTTGACCATTTGCCGAATAGCGGTAACAATATTTGTTACCTTGTGGTTGATTTGTGTGGTTTTATTTATTGATCTTCGCAAAATGATTTGATAAAGAGCTCTGGATAAGTGCAGATGGTTAGGGCAGAGCCAAACCATGAAATTCTTGCTCGTGCAAAACCTCTGACTGAAATCACTGAGAAAAGAGCTCTGCTCCCTGGATACAGAGTGAAAAGATGCAATGATGTGGGCAGCGAGTGATAAAGCGCTAGCCAGCACTTCTTACCTTCTACTTTCACATCAGGATCTGCGTCTGTTCTGTAATGGGTAGGCCTGGGCTGGGCAACGGTTGTGTGAGGATGGAGTTGTCTCATGCCTTGATTTCTGAGAAGACCCAAAGTAGCTTTGTCTCCCGTGGGATCCCTTGACAGCAGGGGTGCTTCTTACAGGTATGCTGCCTGCAGCGGAAACCCTAGCAATTCAGGGAGATGCCCAGTAATATAGTGGGTTTATCTGAGGAACAGGATATATATACAGATTGGAGGTGCACAGATTTCTTGGAGATAGCACTCCTCTGTGGGAAACCACATTTACAGTGATCCCCTCTGCTCCATCTTGTTGGTCTCCACTTCACTCACTCCTGTAACATTGAGGAGGGGACAACAGTCTCCTAGGAGAACCCTAGGAAGCCTTGGGAAACCGTATCTTCACCTAGCCTCTTTCTCTGTCTTTTCCCTTTGTAAAATTGGGAAGAGAAAGGACAAAGAAGGGAAAGGGTGACATTGATGAGCTTCTTGATTAGGAAAACTGAAAACAACGATGGACCAAGGGATAACATCACATTTGACTAAAGGAGCAATGACATCTAAAGTCACTCAGGCTGACTGCAATTGCATCTGCTCCCTGTGGGAATCTCCAGGGATTCATCCAAGACCATGGTGTCCATTGACACATGGCGGTCAGAAATGGTAAAACAGGATTATTAATTTATTCTTTGTTCTGAACAATTTTCCTTATGTCCTTACCTTATCATCTTGGTGGACACTTACATTATCCCTAATTCCTGATAGTGTGGCTGACATAGCAGTGGTGCACATGTGCAGTGCTAACAGTCTGGAGACTAAGAACAACTGAAAACAATTCCCTTAGCAACAAGAGAGTCGTCTCCTGTGATTGCCTGTGGGTGGATCTTGATGAGGAGAGGGGGATCCAGCAAATATCCTCCTTTTGCTTGGAGGGATCAAAATAAAACAGCTGCAAGTCTTTGGCACCTATGAAGATACAGAACAGAAAACCATAAAATAGGCAGACTATGTAATTTTTTAGGAGCTATTCAATTATAGTTTTCAAATACTTCTTTTTTTTAGAAGAAGGCTGATCATGTATATTAAGAGCTCAAGATAGAATAGTTTCTTATCTAATAGAGTGGTGGTATTCACACACAACTTTGTTGGAAGGTGTCGTTTACCTGAATCATCTGCTAACTGTTCTCCATGACATAAAAGTTCATTGAAATGCATTAGATAGTCTCAGCAGTTTGCAAGCAAGATCTGAAAAATGACCTAAAAATAAAAAAAGCCATTATATTGTACATTTTACCTTAGAAAGGATACATTGCGTTGTATCTCTTCAGTAGCACTGATGTACCTTCGGTATGACTGTTAATTTGTCTTGTGTGGTTCTGATTGTGGGGGAACAATATATGGATCTAATCTGAATGGCAAGGGATAAAACTCCCATCATATTGGATTGGGAAAAAAAAAAAAGCAACTAGTCTTTGTCTGATCTTGCTGGACTGAGTCATTTGATCTGATCTGAATTTCTGACCTAATTTTAGTATAGTTAGTGACCACGCGGAGAAAATAAGGTTAATATGCTGATCAGTAGTTGGGAGTAAGCTGCAATAAATATGTTAGTGTATGTATACTGTATGTAATTTTTAGGCTGTTTTTCCCTTTCATCTTTTATTTGTCTGGCTGCACTACTCCATGATTGTGTGTTCAGAAGTCTGTGTCCAGACCAGCAAAGCATACTGGCATATTGCCCACAGCTTATAAATTGCAAATAAAGTTATGAAGCAGTATCATTTTCACGGGGAATACAGTTGCCATGATGGAAGAAGTACCTTCGCCAAGATACAGTGTCTGCTGTAGGCCGTAGTTCTGAGAACAGGAGGTATGTTTTCCTCGTCTGTTCTGCGTGCCAGAGGAAAGGTGAGTGTTTTGAGTTTATATAGGACACCTGTTATAATGGGCAGTTGCTTTCTGACTCATCCATAATTGAAACGTATATATTTTAGATACCTTACCTCTATCATACATAATCTTGTGTGAAGATTTCCCTGGTGTTGTTATTAATTGAACGAATACAAATTCTTCCATAAGAAGCAAATGATGAGTGCCCCTCCTCATCTTCCGTTGCCTTCCTCTGTAGGTTGAGACAAGTCACATTAATCACAGGGAGCGACTGGGGCTGAAGGAGATGAATGCTTTCAAAGTTTTGGCGTCTAGTTTTTAGATTTCACTTAAGCTGCTGTTCCTGTCAGGGATATTGGCATTTTGATTTGCAACGCTATGAAGATGTAACTGCTCTAGTGTAAAGTAGATGGGGTGAGTGGGCATGAATTTCTACCAGCTAAATCCTAGCCTTAGCCACCAAAGTATTTCTTTGTTTCTAATGGTTCCCATGCTTGTAGCTCTGTCACAGCACTGAAATAGCTCTGTGGAAAGCCTTGTTTCTGCTTGTTGAGGGAAGTATCCAGAGAGATGCTGTCAAGAGGAGGAGCTTTTAGGAGCACTGTTGTGTGTTAAAGCTAGCAGAAATGGGCCGGCCAGCCAGTGGCAGAGTTAAGCTTT